TGATTTTCCATAGACTTTTCTACAGAATTTTGATTCAAATTCAAGGTCTTGGTCCTTATCTTTAGGACACACAAAGATGTAGGCTTAGGTATCTGAAGAACCAGGATGAAGATTAATTTGACAACTTCCCACCTCTGGCACAATGGAACTGTCTACAATGGACACAATAACGTCAAACTCAGCTCTGTGGGAGACAGAACCTTCTCAAGGGCCAGTCAGAGACTATGGCGTGAACTCCCCCAGGAACTAAGGGCCACTACAAACCTCTCCACATTTTGTTTCAAGTGAAAGGCATATTTCTTTGACCTTGTCTAAGATAAGCACATAGCAAAATGTAGGTTTAAAAATAAAAAAATCATTTAAAAATTCCATACTAAAAATAAAATATCAAGGCAATGTTCTATCACCCTGCATGTGCCTTTCCCCATAAAAAGAGCGTGAAACAACAAACAGCACATGACAAATGTTAGTAACATTGCTTAAAGCACTAATGTAAGCTACTCTGATACTATGATGATAAACAGAGTATAAGAAAGAGCTTATATATATATATATATATATATGTTATATATATCTATACACACACATACATATACACACACACACATATACCTACACACACACATATACCTACACACACACATATACCTATACACACACATATACGTATAGAATAGAAAAGAATAGAATAATTCTGAATGAATTCACCAGTATGCTCAAAGCATTCACGGTTGTTTCCCCTCAGAGATTGCAGATTAGCAACATTCTCACATACCTTTGAGGTAGAAAAGCATGCTGGGAAATGGCATCCAAATAACAAAATACGTAAAAATGGGCATATCAAACATTGGTAGAAGTACTTTTGAGTTGCAATATAATATAGGTAGCCTAAGTAGATTTATTTTTGCTGTAACTGTGATGTACTCATTTTCAAGCAAATACAGAGAAAATGTTTCACTTTGCAGCTATTTCACAATGGCCTGGGTACAAAGTGAAAATTGAAGGTGTGCTTGAAGATGCACTGAATTCTTTAGTGCACATTTGGAAAATATGGTTTATGGAGGTGTTTCCCTCAATGTCTAAAAAAATTAAAGAGAAGAATTTTTTTCAGTTTAGATGTAAAGTTAGATTACTAAAATTTATATGTAGGTAGGTAGCAGGTGAACTGATTTTCAAAGGCACTGAACACCCATAGATTTGGATGGAAGTTATTCTGATTTCTGCAGATGTGTGTTTTTATGTAGATGCCAAAATCCAGGTGCATAACTTAAGGCACTGAAAGTGAAGAATATTGGTCATAGTGTCTGTGCTAAAAGAGATATGTGTAGGGTCATAATTTGTTATTACCAAAAAGATTCCTCAAAGGCTAAATAAATGCTTTGAAAGATGCTATTCCTCCATTACAAAGTGAAAAGAAACCTCTGTAAAAAATTATGCATCCACACCAGGTAACACAGTGCCAAGGAAAAGGCCACGATCAAGACACCAGTCTAAAAATAGCACATAATCAATTCTAAACCTCATCTGCATTTGCTGGTTAAAATGTGCAGACAATGACATTATGTACTGTACACTCCAAAATTACTGTTTGCCAATCTAGAGTGTTGTGAAAGGTTCCTGATTATGGAGATAGTCCCACATTATTTTATTTGAAACAGAAAGGCCTGTAGGAGTATTGGAAATTGTTTTCCAATGCTAATATTTTACTCTAAGTGATGAAATGGTGTTGATATAAAATAACACCTTATTAAGCTCATACTATAGCAACATTTGTCCCTAATTTTGTCATCATATAAATGACAACTATGTCTTTGCTCACCAAGTAAATTATATTACATAAATAATAGAATCAATACTTCATAATTTTCCACAAAGATCAGAGGTATTGGTTTGCATTGTGTTAAAATAATAAAACATAATTTCTAATATAGTTGTGTTTTAAAAGCCCCTATGTGACTCAGGCTTTGACCCAAGTAAAACATGTAAGTATGTGCTTAACTTTAAGTATGTGAATAGTCTCAGTAAAACCAGTGGCACGACTCATTATCTTTAAAAGCATGTTTTCATGAACATAGGCTTAACCTAAGTGTGTAAAGGACATCTGATGGGCTAGAAAATGCATAGATCCAATGAAAAACACTTTGTGATACCTTTGTAATGAGGGTCCTTAAGGAATTAAAATATGTTTCTCTTAGTAGGTAAGTGATTTGAAAGTGCTTTATTACAGATACTGAAAAGGTAGCTTTGCTGCTGCCTGGGTTTTGATGTAGCTGCCACAAGGGTGGAAGCAAAAGTCCCACTGCCTTCCACAGAAGTGGGCTTAAACCTTAAACATAATGTTTTTTATTATTTGAGTAATATCCTAAATGTCAAATTTTGAGATACCCTGGAATCCAAACATTTAGATAATTTTAAGTAAATTATGCACGTGCTTTAAAATCTCATTGTTATAATCTTTAACATATCCACAAGAGGGGCAGGATTTATTTACAATATCTTTGACATCCGATTAATGGTTAAATAAGCAATTATTTTATTTCTATCCAATTAAAAGGACTTTAGATGATTTTTCCATCAATATTTGAGTCTTGGTTTGTTTTTTATTTCAGAAAAAATATTCTTTTAATATGTACATGTCAATATATTGTATTCTTTTATTTAATGATTTCCCCCTGCATTTTTGGAACAATTGGTTTATTAGACATCAACATCCCAAAGATTTTGGCACTACGGAATAATTCAGATTGTCCTGGGAAAGCATATAGAAAAGATACATAGGGCCCTGCTACTTGTTCAAATTAACACTGGATAAAAAACAGCTATAGAGTCCTTACACATTTCAAGCAGTAACTTTATAGCTGATTGGCTCTTTTCATAACTGGACAGAATTTTTTAGCATGTGACAATTACTTTGCACATATGGCTGGTCTAAATGTATTGCACAATTAACCAGTTAACCAGTTAACGTGTAGCAGGAACTATAGTTAGTGAGATTAGAAATAGCGCAAGACTCTCCACACATATAACCTGAAGGCACTGAAATACCTTTAGCAACAATGGGATCAGAAGAACTGATGCAAGGTAAGGTAAGTTTATACCATAATACATTTGAAAGGCTACAAGTGCAATTTTAATTATATTTTGTTTCTATGCCAAAATTGCTAACAAATATAAAAGACAGAGCATTAGTGAAATCCTACATGTTAATTAGTTATAATATAAGTGCTAGAAAAGATCTGGCTATTTTACCTGCAGTTATATGTTCTATTTGCCTTCCTGTCACCCACCATTGGTAGAACATTAGGCAGGCTGCAAGGCGCATCAAAAAGTAACTATTGAGCACAGATTTCTGCTGATGGCAGGATTTTGAAATGCTCAAGGCACTGGCAGTCAACACGTATGTAAATGACAGCATCAACTCTGTATTTTAATCCTTTTGAAAAGTATTACTGCAAGAATACATTTAAAATTCTGTTAAGCAACATAATGCAAAGAAATGGTTCCTAAAACTGAACATACCCAGCCATTTCCATGTAGTACAGTAATGTGCAGTCATGACATAATTAAATATTCATAAACTCGAGGGAGACAGAAATGCTGTCTACAAATATTAGAATATTTAAAGCCACCATTTAGTATTTTAGGAATAGATATATTCTATCCACTTTTTAAAGCCATGTTCATATGATTGGTGTTTGAAACTCTTTATTTAATTACAACAATAGTATTAAGTTTACAAGATGGTCAAAAAAATCAAAAAGTATGAGGTACAAAACATGTAAATATTGTGAGCTAATAGTCTCCAATAAAAGACAGAACATTTTTTTTAAATATGTATCAGGATGATCCATCTTTGATTATAGAAATATGTGGCCTGACTTAGCTAGTGAATTAATTTATTGCATTTCTGATTAACATTTCTTCATTGTCTAACTGTTCTCGCTCACATTTCTAAAACAAAGCTAACTATGCCACAGTAAAATACTTTATGAAACATGACTCACTTCCAGCACAATGCAACATTCTCTTTTCATTTAAAATGTGATTAAAAATGGTGCGTGCAATATCTAGTCATATACAAATTACCCAGACTTCAATAACATTTTAGTCCTGTTTGCAGCCATTGAACACATGTGGATTACTCTTGGCAAAATTCATCCTAATACTAAAACTTACGCATTTGTCAGCAGTGTGTGTCTGTTACAGACGTACACACACACATTTGTAGCCTTCCGTTTAGTCAACTCACGCTGAGAAAAATTAATGGAAATGAAGACGATGCCTACAGACAAAAGCACTGATGGCTGCACGCTGCTAACGTTATATTATTATTACGACAATATTTTCTGTTCCATTCACTGTCCTTTAGGATTCATTTAGCAGAAGATATATAAGCGCCAAAAGAATGCAATCTGACCCATTTCTGGTTGAACTCAGTCACCCGAAGGCTTTCCCTCGTTACAGTAGTAAGCAGCTGTCCCCTAGTCTACAATGACACAGCAGGGTTGAAGGGGCTGTTTTCCTCACAGGTAACTCGCCCCTTACCCTCAAGTCGAAAAAAACCCATGCTAGGGGAGAAGAGGCTCTCAACACCTACCAAATGCGGCAAGTCGGGGGAAACTTTTAGTGCAAGGGGTTCATCATTTTGCATTCCCCTTCAGCCAAAGGCACTTCCACGGCACTGTCCATAGAACAATGCACGGCAGGTGGAGATGGATGGGCAGGGCAGGGCAGGTCCTCCTCTCCCCTGTCCCTCCACACCTCGGCCCCTTGCCCCTCTCTCCTTTGCCTGCACCCGAGGAAAGCACCTGGCGCAGAGGAGGAGGAGAGCCCGGGGGCTCGCACTTCCCAAAGTCATTCTCCCCGTCCTTCCCCGCAGAAGGGGGCCCCACCCCTCTCGTCATTTTCCAGCTGAGCACAAGGCAGCAGAGTTGATTCAACACAACGGAGACGGCTGGGCTGGGCTGGGCGATGCCCGGCGTTGGAGGCGGCAGACCTACCTTTTTATCTTCTCTCTCGCTGTTTGGCCTCTTCCCCGGGTGATCGCTGGCACTGCTGGCACTTGCACTTTCCCCCGGCTGCTCATCCTGCTGCCGCTGCTGCTGCTGCTGACAGCCTCCGGCCCCCTGCGCGTGGGGGATGGGCTCCGGGCACGGAGAAACTCCCTTCACATCCATCTCCATCTTCCAGTGCGCTGCCTTTCGAGACAAAAGCAGACAGGAATACTTTCCACCGCCCGGCGTCTTGCTAGCTTGCTTTTGGGCTCCCCCCCCTTGTTAAGGTTGGATCAGGAGGCTGTGGCACGCATGGCTCTCTCTGGCCGCCTCTCTGCACCGATCCGGCGCCTGCAATTCTCCCCTAGAGCCTCCAGACTTCTGCATCCAGCGTGTGTCCTTGGTGCTCTGGCCTTCAATCGCCCCTAAACAGCGAAAGCTAACTAAGCAGATCGCTAGCGACCATAAAATCAACCCCCACCCTGCTCCCTCCCCTCCGGCTAATTGTGGGGATTATTTACTTTCTGCTATCTATTCTGTCCCAGGCCCGGGCACGCGTTTTTAGCACAGCCTTTGGGACAAAGTTAACTGGAGGTGGTTGTGGGAGGGAGGGACCGCCGGGCTGCAACACTGCCAATAACCCGGTAATGTCAAGTAAAAGTTAAACCTTCCCCCTCGCCTCCCCTCCCCCTCGCCCAGATCCCAGGCAAGCACGAAAGAGCAAAGGAAAAGAAAGCGGATTCCGACCTGTGTAAGGTACGGGTGGCGAGGAGGAGACAGGAGTGTGACCCGACCCGTGCTTTTGTTTCCACCCCCACCACACACACACACACACACAAGCCTGTGTAGCAAATGTGGTCTCCTTGATGTGGATCTCCTCTCCGTGCTCCGGGTGGTTGTGTGTGGCTGGAGCTCCCTCTCTCTCAGCCTGCCAGCGCCACGCAGCACTGCACAAGGGGAACTGGAGTAAGGAGAAAAAACCAGAGCCAATTCAGGCAGGAAAGCTAAATCAGGACCGGCCACCGGCTCTCCCGGTTTATTAACACCGGGGGGAGGAGAGCATGCAGGAGAGAGAAGAAGAAGAAGAAATCGCGTGGAAATAGTTTAATCAATCGAGCCTGCAATGTACACACAGGATGCATGTGTTCCCTATGCTAATTGCCTGTTCCGGCTGGAAGTTAGACATCGAAAAGGGTGTGGCGGGTGGGGAGCAATCTCATTAAGAAAGGTTTAATTACTAGAGTCAGGCTTGGGATATTGACACTTGATCTCGGCAATTGCTACTCTGGGTGGTTCAGGAAATGAATGGGGAGCTTAGACCTGATCATTCTTAAATCAGGGCACCATCAGGTGACCAGTCTGCACTTCTAAATATAACACCACATTGTCCTGAGGAACTGCTGCTTTGAAAGTTAGCTGGGAACAGCTAGTGAAAGTCTGCAGCTTCCACAAAGATCTATAGGCAGGAGCATGCATGGGTGCACACACCTTACAACATACAATATGTGCTCTAAAAATTTGACAGGGACACAATAAGCAACTCCTTACAGAGCTAAAGCTCCCTCCAGAGGTGGCGCAATCACCTACCCTGGAAATCTTCAAGAGGAGACTAGACAGTCTTGCTGGGGTCACCCCGACCCCCAGTTATCTTTCCTGCTTGGTGCAGGGGGCCCCTTCCAGCCTTACAATCTATGAATCTGTCTATAAAGAAGAAGCCTCATGAGCTTTGTCCTTTGGTAAGTAACTAACTAATACAGTATTACATGGAACCTTTTTGGTTTCATTCTACCCCAAATGGGCTTGTTATTACATCTGCTCTTGCAGGTCTTATTGAAACAACATGCTGGGTGAAGGGCAAGTTTTCAAATGGTGAAAAAAGGCTAGTCATGTTTTATATATGCACATTTAAAAATATCTGAGCATTAAAAAAGTAAATCATCTTTTGGTAAATGTGGGTTTATTTGCTTCTCAGTTACAGGAGCCTAAACCTCCACTGAAATCATTAGAGTTAGAATTCAAAATTGATGTAAATAAAAACAGAATTATACCCTGTCTATTTTATTTTATATCAACTCACTTAAATATAGTGTACATTTTTGCAGGGGAAGGGCAAAGGATTTGAAAGTGTTACACAGTAAACTCATCAGAATACAATGGTAGCTAACAAGCTTGGCTATGGGCTCTTTTGGGGGCATGTTTCCATAGCCATAATCATTCCAAAAAGAGCTCACAGGCAAGCCTCCCAATCCTCCACCCCTCAAACACTTAAAATTTCAATTAAAAACAAGCAAAAGCTCAACCAAATTAAAACACTTCACTATGTACTGTGAAGCTTACTAGAGCTAGGCTTCAGATCTAAATCTGAAGGTGGGGGCCCTTGATCGAGAAATATCTACCACTAATCTTAGACCAGTGGTTTTCAACCTGTGGTCTGCAGACTCCAGGTGGTCTGCAGACTATCTAAAGGGTCTGTGAAAGATGACTGTGATCAATCAAAACTATATAAATACCCACACTTATAATTCAAAGTGGTCTGCACCTCCATTCAAAATTTCCAAAGGGGTCCAACACCTCCATTCAAAAATTTGTAGGGGTCCCCAATATAAAAACACTTTGAAAACAACTGTCCTGTGCATCCCCAGAAACTAACAATACCTTCCTATATTATCTAAGTGGTTATGATGAGGAATAGGGAAAAAGAGGCAATTTCTTAGATAATCATATTCCTAGTCCATTTGGAAATCCGTACAAACCCAGATATTTAAATGGGGACTTTTCCTCCTGTTATCTGTATATATTCATAGTAAAAAGTACATAACAGACTATTGTATTTTAAAATGCCTATGCTGTCTAATTGCTGGGGTAGGGTATGTATGGAGAAGAGACCAGCAGCCAGATCTTATTTCAAAGTAGTTGTCCTGGGATTGGCAGGGAGGCAGGAACCATTCAGTTCTAAATATGGCTGGTAAATGGTGGAAAGAAAAGCAGAATTATAGAGATGTAAAATGATTTGCCCAAGGTCATGAATCCAGTCAGTGGAATCATTCATATAAAACTAGATGTCTGCTTATGAAAATGGCAGATGCTGTGTGCAAATATTTTTTTCCAGACATCTTCCATGTATATTTGTGTATATAATAATATCAAATAAGGAAGTGATTTTTGTATGTATTTATGCATCTGTTTGAAAATAGCTATTATAAATGTGCAGGATGTATGCAATCCTTTCAAATGAAGTAGCACTAGATATCTGTCAAGGGAGACACTAAGTTTAACTTTCTAGTGCCTCGCATGTCTGTTGGTCCAAGGTTCACCTACCAGCCGCAATCAGCATATGCATAATTTTGACCTTTTACTACCCTCAGACAATTCAAATCAAAGGTTTCCTGTTGTCAACTCAAACTCCTTGGGGCCTCGCTCAACACCATATCTGTCAACTTGCATTCCAGACTATTTCATTCTTTTGGTTGAGAGTTGCAAACAGAGGTGCCTCCTCATGAAGATTCTGACCTTATCGATAATTCCCTCTGTACTATACATTTCAAAGTGGCTGACACAGATGTTCACTGAATCATTTTCCCACCCATTGATCTCTGTTTTTGTTCTCTAAGGGACCTTACTGTGAGCCTGCAAACATTCAATAACCTGCAGGCTACTGTCACACTCAAGCTTTCATGTATGGAGGTATTTCTGACTCTTGTATTAAATATCTGTAATTGTCTAAACTTAAGGAATACTATCCTAAAAAATATGTTTACACCAACATAATTTTACCATGGATAGGAAGACAAGCCACCACAAACTTAAAGTCAAAACTCACTCTTGGAGAGTCACCATTCTCCCCTTTTTCATTATTCCTTCATATGAAATGGAAAATTTTACAGGCTATATTTTTAAAATTCTCACCTAACTTTCTGTCGCAAAATCAGGTATTTTAGATATTTACATTTTTTGTCCATTTAGACTCACAGTTATTGAAGCTACAAAAAAATTAATGCAAGATTAAAGAGCAAACTGAGATTTTGATATACTTTGGGAGAGTAGTTATTATTGTTTGTCAGTGTGCACAGTGCTGTTTGAACATGAAACTTGTCTGCAACCATTTTATATGCTAACTAATTCATGAGAAAAACAGTTTTTCCAGCTTCACTGGTCAGTGGCAGTGAAGTTACAGCATCACACTCCCCTGCTTACTGTTTCACAGAGAGATAATTGGCCACCCTGGTCTCCTCTCTTGGAGCTGATGTCACAGCCTTGACACATCTAAGATGTCCAGGCAGAAGGCTACTACAGGGGTCTATTCCTTTCTATTCTCCTGTGTGGATTAGACAAGTCACAGTTTAGATCATAAAGGCATGTTCTGATCACATTCATGAATTAGCAGTTGTTCTTGTTCAAGGAACCGAAATTTATTTATTTTGTGAGCACCTATCTTAATCTCAGGTATATTTAAAATTGTCATAAAATTGAAACATGAGACTTACTTGCAAGCTTTATGAGTTCTGGGTTCCCAAAATTCTGAAACTTGGGTTTCTAAGTTGCAATAAAATTGAGAGAAGAATATAGATAAGCATAAAAATACAATTATATACAAATTTCAAAACCTAATTAATTTTTGCTTCATTTTCAGGCAAATATTTCAACTGAACATCATCAAGGGAAAGCTATTTATTTGCTTCCAGCCTCATATTTCTATGATTCTTTTTGTTTTTTGCTTTAAAGAAAAAGTAATCAAATTGAACCATAATTTCACTTACTTTGCATCACTTGATAATGGCACTTCTATACAGCAGAGAAAACAAAACTTTACTCATCCCCAAAAGAAGAGTTAAACAACACTGAAGGTCATTAGCACACTATTACTGTCTTCCTAACACTGGTATTTTATTTCTTATGGAATGACTAATTTGCTCTAGCTCAATTTTCCCAATGCTGCCTTTCTCTGTTTCAACAAAAAACAACCTTTCTGTATACTGGGGGCCTCATATTCTATATCTGTATAATTATCCTGAAAGTCAGAAGTGCTAAGGCCAACAACCCCCATTGGATTCCTTCCCCCATTGTACTTGGGGGAAGGTGGGTTTAATCCCCCTCCCTGACCCCCAGTCAGGGTTTGCCTGTGGGGGACAGTCCCTGCCTCCCCCCAACCCTTCTCTGTTGGAACAGACAGCACAGCCCAGCCCAGCCCAGCCCAGGGCTGGAAAGCATGCTGGGATGCTGGGGGACTGTGATTTAACTTGAACTAGGAAGTGGTCTGGGCCAGAAGTTTCATAAACCAATTTGACCAAAATCAGTTAAGTCTGATACTACATTCAACCAGGTTTATCTTAAACCAGTTTCAGCCATTTTGAAACTAGTTTATGTGTACTGAGTTTCTGTTCTGTTACAGGTTTAAACCAGTTTCTGATTACTTATACCAGTTCATGTGAAACTTCTGTCCCTAACCATGAAGTCTAGGGAAATCTTGATGTTTTTAGGATCATATCCAATTCCTGCCACCTAAACCAGTGGG